GCCTATAAATATGGCCTTCAATTCCTAATCAACATCACACCCATTGTTTTCTTATCATCTAAATTGTTATATTTTTTTAATATATTCAAAGATTTCATATTATAACGGTGAGTTTATTAAGACATGATTGAAGTCATGTATTTGATTATTGGAGGCGAAATAATGAGGTAAATTAATTAATATTATTTTTTAGTATTTATTTATTTAGTTTATTTGTTTTGATATTTAAATAATATTTTAATATTTTTTGTGTAGGGATATAAACGTGTATTAGAGTGTTATATAAATCGTGTGATAATGCTCGATGTGAATATTATTGACTATTTACATTTAGATGGTTTTAGATATATCAGTAATATAATTGGTGATGTGTGAAGTTGCATCATTTACTTATAAATGCGTTGGTGGAAAGATGGAGTCCGGAGACGCACAGGTTTCATTTACTGTGTGGGGAGGTAACTATTACCTATAAGATGGTGCATTTCATTGGGATTGCCTATTGATGGAGTAGTTATTACTGGTATCGTCGGCGCCCTTAGAAACGTATGTGAGACATTGCTCGGAATTGTTCCGCTTGATAATGCACGCGGTGATGAAAAAATAAAAATTAAATTTTTGGATGATAATTTTACGCACCTACCACACGATGTGAAGCATGTAATTAATGAGGTAAATATAAATGTTTTTATTTATGAATATTGTAATTTTTTGCTTATCAAGTGAGATTATATTCAAATGAAAATAATGTTTCTTGAATAAGATATTTTTATGTAATTAAGGTGATTACAAGCAATTTTTATTCTAAATACATTTAATCGTTTGATAATAAACACACAATTATCTTGTTGTAATTATTGGTGCTCGAATTTCTGACCTCTAAAAATAATAACACTTCTTTGACTATTAAGATAAGTCGGCTCGTACTAAGATTAACTTCATTTGATACACATATATTTCTTGACTTGTTAAACTAACCAAAAGTTTAATCAACTCAACTTGAAATCGATTGGTAACCAGATCTTATCTAGTCAGACATGTGTAATATAACAAAGCCACCTCCTCAACTTCAAATCTCAACCGTTGAATATTCGCAAAATACGATCTAAACCCTAAAAATTAAAATATATAAAGGCAAATCGATCGCGTTTAGTAGGGTTTCGAAAAATCAATTTGGCTTTATGCCAGACAGGTCTACTACGGAGGTGATTCATCTACTTCGACGGCTTATGGAGAAATATAGGGAAAAAAATAGAGATCTTCACATGGTGTTCATTGACCTTGAGAAGGCGTATGATAGCGTTCTCTGCAAAACGATCTGGAAGACCTTGGAAATGAGACGGATCCCAACTGCTTATATCCAGGCGATTCATGATATGTACTGTAGATCTACTACATACGTCAAGATTAATGTTGGCGACACCGAGGTTTTCCCGGTGGAAATCGGACTCCACCAGGGGTCGGCGCTTAGCCCTTACATCTTCGCCTTGATTATGGACGACATCTATTGTGCGACACCAGACGGTGTTTCATGGTGCATGCTTTTCACTGACGACATTGTCCTAGTTGCTGAAACAAAAACTGAGCTGATTAGTAGACTGACTACCTGGAAGACTGCCTTGGAAGAAAAAGGTCTAAGGATCAATATTGAAAAGACAGAGTATTTATGTTCAAACTTCAGTGGGAACCAATACGATGAAGATGTAGAAGTATGCATAGATTGACACGTTCTCCCCTCAAGGGATTGTTTCAAGTACCTAGGGTCTATGTTACATAAAGATGGGAGTGTAGATGATGACGTTACACACCGTATAAAGGCGGGATGGCAAAAGTGGAGGGCTGCTACTGGAGTTTTGTGTGACAAGAAGGTGCCTCTAAAATTTAAGGGAAAATTTTATAGAATGGCAATAAGACCAGCGCTGCTGTATGGATCAGAATGTTGGGCAATCAAGAATGATCACATAAGGAGGATGGAGGCCGCAGAAATGAGAATGCTTCGATGGGCATGTGGTAAGACTCTGTGGGACATGACACCAAACTCTTCTATTAAGATGTCCTTGGGGGTGGTGCCTGTATCCGAAAAATTGAGGGAGGGAAGACTACGGTGGTTTGGGCATGTCCTTAGGCAACAACCGTCGGATGCGGTCAGGAGGGTAGAGTTGATCACAATCGACGGTGCCAGAAGGAGAGGACGACCAAGGCGGAAGTGGGAAGACTGCTTGAGAATGGCAAAAAGATCAGCGCTGTTGTATGGATCAAAATGTTGGGCAATCAAGAAGGATCACATAAGGAAGATGGAGGCCGCAGAAATGAGAATGCTTCGATGGGCATGTGGTAAGACTCTGTGGGACATGACATCAAACTCTTCTATTAGGATGTCTTTGGGGGTGGTGCCTGTATCCGAAAAATTGAGGGAGAGAAGACTACGGTGGTTTGGGCATGTCCTTAGGCGACAACCGTCGGATGCGGTCAGGAGGGTAGAGTCGATCACAATTGACGGTGTCAGAAGAAGAGGACGACCAAGGCGGAAGTGGGAAGACTGCTTGAGATCTGATTTGAAGGATTTAGCCCTAACCGAGGACATGACCTCTGATAGAAAATTATGGAGAATCAAGACCAGGGTAGCCGAGTAGTGCGGGTCACATCCATAGGGTGTGTCATCTCTGTCTTCTTTTAATGCCTTTGCAGTACTTTCCATGACTTCTACTTTTTATACGTTTCTATTATTGGAATTTATGAAGACTTAGAACTAGGAAAGCAGAGTAGTGTTGTCTTAGTTTATGGTCTTATCCCATTTGACTTTATTCATTCTCGTAGCTTGCTATCGTGAACTACTGTGTATCATTCTCTTTATGTTTCCTCCTTTTAAGTTTAGTCGGGTCTTACGTTTCTGTCTATATGCAGAGATTTTTATGCAATGATTTATTTGCAGGAAGTACTTCCCAGTAAAATCGTGCATATGAAGACTGCATATGAAAACTATTCAACTTTGTATTTTCTTTATTAACTTATATATGCATTGCATTTTATCTTTAATTTAATTTTTTGACTGCCGGAGGTCTTCCACGAAAGCTACTCTCAATCATGCGTTGGGGACAGCCTATTATCCTACCTCCCCTTACCCCATTGTATATGGGATTAGGGTTTTGTTGTTTTGTTGTTTTCAGATTTCGGTCTCAGTAAAGCGTTTCCACCACCAATCCAAATGGGGTCAGTTTTTCTTTTTCAATATTTTTTAATTTTTATTTTTTTGTTCGTTTCAGTTTTATCATTGCATTTAAAAAATGTTGGCTTTGTGAATCAATTTTGTGACATCCATTTGTTTATTTCAGTGAAATAGTCCTTATAATCTGTTATATGCGATTAGATGTTTTTTGGGTCAATAATTTGTTTCAGTATGTATTTCGGGTTGGTTTTAGTATGTACGGTATTTGGTACTGAACCAATTGCAGCCTTATGTAAGCCTTCTTAGGGTGATCTATGTATTTTTTGGAAATATGTTTAAAATATGGAGCTTTGTGCGGGAAGACTCGTGGAATGGGAGCTGGTCGTAAGCTGAGGACCCACCGCAGGAGGCAGAGGTGGGCCGATAAGGCATATAAAAAATCGAATCTTGGAAATGAATGGAAGAAACCATTTGCTGGATCATCACATGCCAAAGGCATAGTTCTTGAGAAAATGTAAGGTTAAGTTTACATTTTACATATCTTCAGCAGATTGTATTTGAATCCAATTTGGGACTCTACAATTTCATATTTGGCTTTTACAGTGGCATTGAAGCTAAGCAGCCTAACTCTGCTATCCGAAAATGTGCTCGCGTTCAGCTGATCAAGAATGGAAAGAAAATTGCTGCATTCGTACCCAATGATGGTTGCTTAAACTAAATTGAAGAAAATGTTAGTCACACCGTTATCCTCACCTTTTGAGTAGAGAATTTCAGTGATTTATGTTTATCATTTGTCGGTTGTCATGATGTTCCATTAACCGGCATTGTGAAATAGCTTGTTGCAGATAAGTGATGATGGTGCCTAACTTTTTCGGCGTTGCATACTCTAAAATCTAAATGTCATTCTCGGTTTTGATTTGGTGCAGGATTAGGTTTTGATTGCCGGATTTGGACGGAAGGGTCATGCTGTCGGAGATATTCCCGGAGTCAGGTTTAAGGTCGTTAAGGTTTCCGGTGTGTCTCTTCTAGCCCTTTTCAAAGAGAAGAAGGAGAAGCCGAGGTCTTAAACGATTACCGATAAGAATTTAGCTTTCAGTTCCATCAATGCATTTCTTTTCTTTCCTCAAAGCTTAGGGTTTTGGATTTTTGTAATGAACTTATTTATCTCCACTCGAAAACTGCCCCCTTTTTGTTTCAAAATCATATGTTTAGTTAAATGTTATTTATGTTGTTTTGCAGTATTGAACCCCTTTATTTACAAATCTAATATTTACTTTACACAATTAAAATTAAGGCCCCTTTGTTTGTTAATGCAATAACATAGTAAAAGTTTGTTTAGTTTAACGTTAATAATCACTTGGATAATGTTGATTATTCACAATGACTTAGATTTAGTTGTAATGGACAGGAGTATTGATTTCAATTAACTTATTTTAATGTTTTGAGTTTATTAAGAATGGAGTAATAATAATTTTTTTATTTAACATATTAAACATTAAAGAAACAAGCACGTTCGGAAATACGATAAACCCGATCATGGAATGGTGTTTATTTCTTTTAAATAAAAATGTTTTAAGTGTAAGTAGAATGAATGATCAAACTCCGATAATGTAAAAAATTGAATAAATTTTTTTTTTCAAAAATTTATTTTGAAAGATTAGAATTTAGATTTTGTGACGGAAGAAATAAAAAAAATAAAAAGTGTAGCTTTAAACAAAAATACTATCCATTTCATAATGTGAGTAATGTAATACGTATCAATCATTAAAAAAAATGTAACGGTCAAAATGGCCGCTCGCTCAATCCATAATTACCACCACGCCATCACCACCAAAATTTATAACAGCTCTTTTCCACCGCCAATGCCAGCCTCTCCTCCATTCCTAAGTTTCCCTTCTTTCTTCAACTTATCCGCCGTTGGAGGACCGGACCGTATCATATTATTACTTGCCTTCGGAGGGAATGACAGTCGCTTCTTTGCAGCGGGGGGCAATTCCCTGTCCGATATCGCACTACGCCTCGGAGTACTCGACAATCGGGACTGCCTGGTTTTCGTGGCCTGGTTCACTGCATTCGTTGCCATAGAATTCGGAGCCGTTGTGGCCGAGATTCTATGGCTGTCGTCCTCTTGAACCAATGGAAAACCTCCAACGGTACTTTGTCGTCTCCGTTGATGATCCCGTGCGGAGTCGTCATCCCCTGCGCGTCGTGTTACCCTTAGACTCGGCTGTCTAATTTTATCAGTAAATGATGAAACGGAAGCTATCTTTGAGGGAGGAGTGGGAAGAGATTGGCGGACGGGAGGTCGAGTGGTGGATTTAGAAGGTGTATGAGATGGCTTGTTATTATTATCGTTGTTAGAGATGGAATTAGAGGCAGTCACAATGTTGAGTGGTGCATTGTTAGGTGTTGAGGTTGACGTCTCCCATGGCCGAGCTGCCATCCATCTCTCTAACCATCGCCATCCCCATCCCCAGTGGGGATTCTGTTGTCGATCTATTAACGTTTGATTCGCTGCTTTAGAAGGCACCTTCCATGATCGCTGCATGTATTCACATTCGTATCAATAAGCAATTTAAAATATACTGTTATCATATGCATGTTTATATTCATTTACAACACCTGGTGAGTGAACGCATAAGCTAGAGCTCTTTCCCTTTTCTCAGCAGCTTGTTGCCTGTACTGTTTTATTGCTTCAGATTGCTCCTTGGATTTTTTACTGTCATGCCAGTCTGATCCCATCTGTTGAATTTCCCAAATGTTAAAAATGAGTTACTAACTACTCGACTAATCATTCACATGAACTTACAGATGCATTCTCCTCCTCCAACTCTTTCTCGCGTTTCTTTTGAAGGTGTTGGTGAAGGATCTGGTTTTCTTCCCACATTCTACGTCTTCTTGCGCGATTCTGGGACTGCGCCCGAGCTTGAGACTGCATGCGTCTCAGTGTACTCGTGGTTTGTTTTATGGATTGCACCTGATACAACGACGATTTCAACCTCTCCAACCTTCTCAAACCCCTCTTTGCCTGACACACAACTCCCAAATTCAATCACTCCTATGCATCAAATACAACTAATTGTTCATCAAGGACATGTTTCTTTCTACTTGTACAAGTATTAGACACAAATATATGCATTAAATGAGTATCTTCAGTTTCCTATGCCTGATAACTCAAATACAATTATTTTATTAATTTGCTTATAAACAGAATGACTCGTTGAATTTATAAATGAACTTTCACTTGCTTAAACTATTAGATGAAATCACATTAAATCTTAAATCGCTTAATTTCAATAAAACAAAATATTATAGGTCAAAATGAAATAATAAAATTACAAGATTTAAAATTCAATGTGATTTAGTCTTGTCAAATCCCATTATCTTCTAGTATTTCTGTTGTGCGGCGCCTAAAAAACGGAGTGACCGGTTAAAATTTAGACCGGTTATGTTATATCATTTAACCGGAAATATTATCAAGTACAATAACATATTAGGTAACGCTTATATTATAAAATAGGCATATAACCGGAAATATTATCAAGTAAAGTAACATATTAGGTAACGTTTATATAATGTAATAGGTAACGCTTATATTGACCTATTTTCTCATAAAACCGGTAAATTTCAACCGATTACATTGTAAATTGACCTATTACATTATAATTATCGGTTTCGATGTTTTTGGGATCGATACAATTTTAAATGTATCGACACTTTATGCGTGCACCTGTTTTTGCTTTCATTTTGGAAAAAAAAGTATCGACACATATTTAAAGAGTGTCGATACATAATGTAGACATATTTGCTAATTAACGGGTATACTTTTACCGGTTACATTGTAACCTGTTAATAATTATCGATTTCAATGTATTAGGATCGATACTTTTTATAAATATATCGACAGTTTATGCGTACACCTCGTCTGGACAAATGTATCAACACATTTAAAAACTGTCGACACATTATGTTGACCTATTTTCTATTTACACCGGTAAATTTCAACCGGTTCCATTGTAAATTGACATATTACATTATAATTTTCGGTCTCGATGTATTTGGGGTCGATACTTTTTATAAATGCATCGACATTTTATGCGTGGACATCGTTTGGCATTCATTATGGACATAAAGTATCGACACAAATGTACAAAATATCGATACATTATGTAGACCTATTTGCTCATAAAATTGGTAAATTTAAATCGGTTACATTGTAAAGTGACCTATTACATTATAATTTTCGGTCTCGATGTATTTGGGGTCGATACTTTTAATAAATGTATCGACACTTTATAAGTGCACATAGTTTGGGAATTCATTATGGATAAAAAGTATCGACACAAATAAATAAAATGTCGATACATTATTTAGACATATTTTCTCATAAACCGGTAAACTTAAACCGGTTACATTGTAAAGTGACCTATTACATTATAATTATAGTTTCGACGTATTTGGGATCGACACATGTTATAAATGTATCGACACTTTTTTGTGCGCTTGGTTTGGAAAATACATTCTGGACAAATACTATCGACACTTGTTGTATTTGTGTCGATACTTTATGTATACTTGTTTTCTCATAAACCGGTGTATTTAGGCCGGTTACATTGTTATTTTACTTATTACATTATATCTATGTGTTTCGATGTTTTTAGTATCGAGACTTTGTTGTGCACTTGGTTTAAAAAATACATTCTGGACAAAAAGTATCGTATTATACGTACTTATTAAAGTATCGACACTTTCAACATATTTGGTAGCGCTTTACCAGTTTTGTCATTTTGAGACCGGATTTGTCATATTTTTATCTGTTATATTATTATGGATTAATATATATTTTTAAAGTATCGACACTTTATAGGCGCTATAACTTATTCTCTTTTAAATTCCAAAAGTATCTATACTTATATTAAATTATCGATACTTTCAACATATCTGATATCTTTTTATCGGTTTTTTCATTTTTGAGACCTGTTTTGTCATATTTTTACATATTATATTGTTATTGATCGATACATTTTTTTAAAGTATCGACACTTTATAGGCGCTATAACTTCTTCTCTTTTAAATTCCAAAAGTGTCGATACTTGTATTAAAGTATCGACACTTTCAACATATCCGATAGTTATTTACCTGTTTTGTCATTTTGAGACCGGTTTTGTCATATTTTTAGTTGTTATATTGTTATGGGTCGATACATTTTCATAAAGTATCGACATTTTTTAGGCGCTATAACTTCTTCTCTTTTAAATTCAGAAAGTGTCGATACTTAGATTAATGTATCGACACTTTCAACATATCTGGTAGCATTTTACCGGTTTTGTCATTTCGAGACCGGTTTTGTCATATTTTTACCTGTAATATTGTTATGGAGCGATACATTTTTCATTTGTATCGACATAAACCGACAATCTAAGTTTGCCGGTTGCCAAAATTTTTAATATTTCTTCATGATTTAGACTTACTACATTATTATTACTCAACATTTCCGGTAATGCTAAACCGAATTTGTTAAATATATTATAATATATCCGGTAACGCCGTATATTAGCCCGTCTTTCCAGAGACAATCTCATATCTTCTTAGAAGTACACATATTAGTATTATTGTATCATACATTTACCAATAGTATCTATATTTTGACAACTAGTAATAAAAAATAAAATAATATATATTATTATTTAATTCATCTACTCCGTATTCCTTAATTTTTTAATGTTCAATAATTCAATTATCGATCTGAGGTATGAAATTCAAATTAAAAAGGGAAAATGGCATACCAAGTATTCGCGGAATGCAGTTTGAATCTTGATAGCAGCTTTTTTCTCCAATGATTTACGTTGTTCAAAAGCAGCCTGAGCAACTTCAGTGGCGGTTTTATGCGATGATTTGCGTTGAACGGAAGCGGCGTGAACAGCTTCAACAGCGGTTTTATGCGATGATTTACATTTTGCGGAAACGGTGTGAACAGCTTCAGTAGCGGTTTTCTCCGACGATTTGCGTTGTGTGAAAGCGGCATGTACAGCTTCGGTAGCGGCTTTCTCCGATGATTTGCGTTGTGCGGAAACGGCATGCACAGCTTCAGTAGTGGCTTTCTCCGATGATTTGCGTTGTGCGGAAGCGACGTGGACAGCTTCAGTAGTGGTCTTCTCCGGTGATTTGCCTTGTACGGAAGCGGCGTGAACAGCTTCAGTAACAGCTTTCCCCGATGATTTGCCTTGAACAGAAGCGACGTGGATAGCTTCAGTTACGGCTTTCTCCGAGGATTTGCCTTGTACGAAAGCGACGTTGACAGCTTCATTAGTGGTCTTCTCCGATGATTTTCCTAGTACGGAAGCGGCGTGAACAGTTTCAGTAGCCGTTTTCTCAGGTGAATTGCCTTGTACGGAAGCGATGTGAATAGCTTCAGTAGCGGTTGTCTCCGGTGAAACTTGTTGTTCGGAAGGGATGTGAACAACGGCAGCGGCGGCAGCCATAGCGGTGGCAAGAGCGACGGAGTAGGCATGATTCTTATGCTCATCTTGAGCTTCCGGCGATTTGGCAAATTCAGCGGGTGAAGATTTAGGAGTTTCAGGTTCTTTTTTAGGCAAAGAAACTACAGGCACGGAATCCTTGCTTTCGCCATGCAATTTTTTCTTTGATTTAGAAGTTTCCTGTTGAATCAAAATTTAGCTAAATTCAAATCATAAATAATAAGCGAAAAAATAAAACCACCAAATTAATTAAAAATAAAATAAAACTAAACATCACTAGAAAACCAAATAAATAAACATTATTGAATGGAATTTATGAATGAAATTAACTAAACCTTATCTTTCTTTGAGTCGGGGGAAAAGGCTTTCTTCACAACACACAACCAATCTCGTTTTTTCCCCATCTGTCAATATTATTTTCTTCATAACACAAAGAAAAGCCATGGAATTTCAGTTCCATTGAGACAAATGAGAGAAAATAAATAAATAAATAAATAAATAAATAAATAGCTCTTGAATTCATAAAAAAAGGAAAAAGAAGCTCCATTCCAGATTTAAAATTGAAATAGGTTCATTCAAAGCAGAAAAACCACATAAATTATGAAAAAATATATATATGTAAAAAAAACATATTAAAGGCCAAATTATAGCAGGAAAAAAATATTCAATACCCGTGCATGAAAAGAAATTCCCAGATATCTTTAAAGATATTGCAGCCTTTTCTCTCTTTCAATCTATACCGAGACAAAATGGTTGATAAAAGAGAAAACCCAAGAGAGAAATAAGAGAATTTTCGCCAATGGAAGAAAAGCTTGAAAAACAGAGAAAATTAGGAAATGAAAATTAAAAATATCGGTTGCAATAGCCATTTTTAGAGGATATAACACCAGAAAAAGTTGAACCTGAAGTGCATTATTATAGTATCTAAAAATACTTTAAACGATCACAACGTAACTGCACCTTTCATAATTGATCGATTTTGACGAAATCAATTTGGGGTTGTTTAAAGTTTTCATTACAAAATCCATTTTAAGTGCATTATCGTTCCACCTTGTACTTTCAGCGTTCGACTGTTGATCCTTTTTGCCCGATCAGAATCCAGTACAGACATATACCCATATTGTTCGTGATTGTGTTTTGGCAAGATTATCTGACTAGCCATGGTGAAATTTATTATTTCATAATCATCACACAGCTAAACATGGTGAAATTTTATGCATTTATATGGGCAGTATGATTGCTAGGAATAAGTTGTTACATGAGGATAAGAGAACACGAGTCTGAAGTTATCACCTTTGTTCGTGCTTACTGCTTGTTGTTTTTGTCGACCACTGCACAAGTTACTACATCGATTCCAGCTCCATTGCCATTCTCCCACTAGATCGTTTGTCAAAGCAAATTTTGACTCACGATTTGTCTATGGTCAGCAGTCATTATACGAAATTTCAATATTATTGTAACAACGTCAAAATGATAAATGACGATTTTTGTTGGTCAAAAAATCAATATAAATTTTCTTAGTTTGAGAGTCATATTAAATGTAAAATAAATTTAAATATCATAACTGAAATAATTTAAATTTTAAAAAATATTTTTTTATTAAAATTAATTACGCTCAACCCTACTGAAATATCGAGAAGTTGTCTAGGTGTAAAGATTGAATTTGGGCTTTCAATGGACTTAACAACAGAAATTTTATGAATATTAAACTATTACTGCTGAAATGGATCAACGAGGGCATTTGGTCTAGTGATATAATTCTCGCTTAGGGTGTGATATGGTCTGGAGTTCATTTCTTGGAGTGCACCTTCCAAATTTATTTTACGCTTAACTTTCTTTTCAGCAATATTTCTTTAATTTGAGTCTATTGTCCTAAAAGATTCTATTTTTGATTTTTAAGGGATAACATGACAATTATTTTCTAATATATATATTGAATATTCAGGAAATTACATTTATTATTCAATATTTATGAGTTTTATGTATCCAAGCAACGGTGTAATTTTATTTTCAAGGGCGAAGTTTGGTATACCTTAGCCACTATTCGTTCATGTAACACCACAAACCCGAGTTAAGGATTAGGAGCAATACTGAGATCAATAAACAAGTACAAGAACATTAAACGTTGAATCAAACATACGCAGCGGACATTACAATTGAAGAGCTATTTTTCCGAAAACAAGATTAATCAATCTCAATCAATATACTTATCAATTAATTCGATTAAGCCATGAATCCCAATTTATCACATGTAATTTCATTTAATTTGCATTTTTTATACATTAAACTGAATACTAGAATTTAAACCGCATACATTCTATAAGAGTTTAGTGAACTTAACATAATATGACATTTATATATAACCCATCTTTTATATATATTCCAAAAAGGAACCCTTAATGGCTTACACAAAAGAACATACATGTAAGCTATACACACACCAAAAGAGCCATTGACATTACATATATTAGGGGTCCATTAACTCCATAGACTATACTATTTCATTAGGTTCTTAGGTACATTTCGTAAACAACTTAATTACCCACCATATGCATGAGATTTGAACCACTATACTCAATGCTAAGCCACCAACTAGGAGTATAAGGATAACGAAACAAGCCATACTTAAAATCTTCCTTTGGGATGATTAGCTATGGAGGTTGAGCTTCAAATACTCTAGAACATGTGGTTTGAGAATGAAAGGAACAAGAGTGATAAGTACTTAAAGTAGTTAGTGAGGTAACACTTAATTTCATTAATTCTTTACCATTTAATGATTTCCACAATCAACTAATATTTTGATTTCATGCAACTACTATATACTCTAATAGGATATCATTCAATTTAAATAATCTACCTGATCTAGCTTCAATTTCGAACATGGAGAGAGTACACAATCATATACATTTAATTTAACAATCAACTAAATCAACCAATTAAACATTTCAATTCTTCTTCTATTCGATCAAGGCATAAATTACCATATGTGCAACACACAATCTACACAATATTTCGAATTAAGCAATTCAATCTTTGTAGCAATTCGATTTGAATAATTCATGCAAATACATGCACTCTTCTGATTTAATCTTGTCAATTAATTTAAGCCTTGGTTTCTAGTTTAGTCTAGACAAGCAAGTCTCTAACCAACTGTCGCCATATATTTTCATTGCACTGTAGTGCTGGTCAACCCTCCTACCGTCACCAAAAACCAAATAACGTACCCTTCGTATGTCACCAATAAGCACCGTAGTGTTGGACCGTAGTCTCCCATACACAAATAAGCTCTAGACTCTAAGGCATGCCCTTATATCTTGGACCAACTATTAACCAAGGACATTGAATTTCATTTGCCAAGAAATCTTTTTTTTAACATAGTCATCAAGGATTCTTTCATGTCAAGATTATGCATTCAATTTCAAATGGATCATGGCAGCAAGCAACAATTTGTTCATTCAAGATTTCAATTCAATCAAGTTCGATCTTATTAGCATGCACTAATTCACAATTTGATTCAGTTCAATCATAGAAACATGCAATAATTCACCATTAAACTCAATTCGATTATGGCAACATGCAATAATTCACAATTTGATTCAATTCAATCATGGAAGCATGCAATAATTCACAATTCAATTTAATTCGATCATGACAGCATGCAGTAATCCATAATTCAATTCAATTCGGTCATGAAACATGCATTTATTCACAAACCAATTCAATTAGATCATGGTAACATATATTAATTCACAATCCAATTCAATTTAAATAAAGGTAACAAGCAATAACTAATTTACCAATTAATTTCATTTGGCACTCAATAACTTATAGTCTTTAATTAATCATTCTTTCCCTTAATTTAAGTTTAAGTATGACTTAATTTCATTATTAGCATACTGATTTCATGAGCAATTTAACATATCAATAAATTCCCAACCCTAACATAGTTACACTCACAATATTGCAAGTTAGCCTTGAATTACTATTCCTTTTTGCTTATCTTTGGTGGATCCTCCCTTAGTTCCTTCAGCCACTTCCTCAGTTCCTTGCTCTAGCAATTTATACACAACATAGGGAAGTTATTAGAATCAATACAATAGTAATTCAAGCTCAATTAAGCTATTTGACACTAAACAGATTCTGTTCTGGTAGATTGTACACCTTAGAGTAATTTGTCCATAACTTTTAATTTACTCATCGAATTTTCGATTTCTTTATACCCATATAAAGATAATTCAATTAATTTTCCAACCATGTATGGATTGTATTTTAATTTCTTATATAAAATTACATTTATGCATTTGAAGTTAGATAATTTTCCAGTGACCAATCTGTCACTCTTATAATTCGATGCACTTTGGTGAACTAATTCACCTAAAATCCTTACCAATTTGTCTTATATCTTTTTACCATTGTTTATTTTTATCATTTCCCTATATTTTCATATCAACCTTATCCCTCAATAGTCCAATTAAGTCCCAAATTTTCCAATTTGTTCAAACCAGTCCCTAATTAATTTTACAGCAACAATAGTGATTTGATTCACTTCCCAGGTCAAATTCTCACAATTTTACAACATTACTCTTGTTCAATGTTTCGAAATTCCTAAAATATCCAATTTCTAACAACTTGTCCTATACCTATTTTTCCAATTTGGTATACAACCTTTCAAATTTCTTAATTTGATCACATGCATGAACAATTCTTTCGGTTATGACCCTTAAGGTGATAACCCATAGTTTAACCAATTTAACAAGGTTCCTAATCACTTAAACTTAACTTAACATGATCACCATAGTCTCTAGTATCATATAAGCCAACAATTTGAATTAATTCCATAATCAAACTTATCAATTTCTTAAGAATCAACTCAATTGAATCCTTAAAATTTTGAATGGAAAGAGAGGGAAAGATTTACTTGTTATGCTAGATGGATTTTCCTATGTAATATAAGCTTGAAACCAAGCTTGCGTGGAAGATATCCCTCTTTCCACTCTCAAATTTTTCTCTCAATTCCCCCTCAATTTTGGTCACCAAGATGAAAGGAAGAAGAAAATGTTATTTCTTCACTAGTAATGCAAGTAAATTATCTTCTTTAGCCCCATTTAGTGCTTAAGTAATAAATTATTCATGGGAAGATTTAGGAATCCATGAAATTGGTATGCAAACTTGTTATTTATGATCCATTCCAATTAGATCACTCCAACATGGTTAACATTCCTTCAATCCTTTTAATTAAGTCCTTGTTTAATTCAACTAATTTAAATTCCCATTCAACTTGTTGGCTATTCTAGGCAATTCGATTGGGTCCTTTTCCAATCCAATTAATTTAAACTTCAATTCAATTTGGTTTTTACTTTAGGCAATGTAGCTTAATTCTCATAGGCTAGGATTTCAGGGAGTTACAACTCTCTCCTTTAAAAAGAGAATTCATCTTCAAATTCTTACCTGGATCAA